GGGGCAGGTGGGGGCGTTTGCGAAATCGGAGGGCTAAGGCCCCCTTTTTCCGCCGCCCCCCCCTGCGCCCTCCGATCAGCATCTTTCCCTACCTTCAGTCTTTTGATCTCAGATTCGGCCTCTTTAACAAGCCGGTACAGTGCGTCGAAGGCATCCGTGGCCCCCGTTTTAATCTCAGTTTTTAGGTTGCGGGAGTTTGCTATGTGTGCCTTACCCGACAAATAATGGGACCGCGCCTCCCGCAACCTATCACTGGTGCCTACGTTTGTTGATTTTGAGGGGCCACTGATGCCCTCCACCTCTCTCTGACTCTCCTGTGAGGGCACTATCCGCTTACGCACCACCTTTACAGTTTTCTTTGGAGACGTCTGGGGACTGGGGTCCGCTCCGGACTCCCACTCCCCGACGCTCCTCCTGACGCTCAGGACCTGGGCCTCCTTGTCAACGCTTGGTGATCTTCTTATTTCTACTACTTCTACTAACTCGGGCTCAACTGAGGCCCGGTCCTGGGCGTCACCTTTCTTCACCGGGGTCCTTATTCCGAACATGTTAGGGAAACTCGTCAAAATTTAAAAAATTTAAAAATTTAAAAATATTAAAATAATAAATAAGTTAAAATTTTAGTAACTAAGTTAAAAGCAGAGTCAATTTCAATAATAATAAATAAAGTTAAAAATAAAAATTTAAAATTTAAAATTAAGATTTAAATTTATATTAACTATACGCTAATTGTCAATAGACTTATTCTAATTTGGGCAATAGACCCTGTCAAACGACAATAAAATAAAATTAAAAAACTATTTTTAGAAATTTCTACTAAAATTATTCTAAGTCCAGGCTGGACTTGTAAAAATTTCAAAGTTACACTTTCAAAAAACTTAATCTAGTTGGGCAATGAACCCTGTCCAAATGTTTTAAAACTTAATCTAAACTTAATCTAGTACTGAGGGGCAACAACCCACTCAGTATTACTATTACTAACTTAAACTAATTTGGGGCAATAGCCCCGTCACTTACTATCTAACTTACAACTAATATTGCCGGCAAAAAACTCGGTCAATATGTCAGTCGGTCACTTTCGACTTGACTAGTTGTATTACTGATCTCAGCTCCAAGAGTTAGCCTAGTTAAATGTAAAATAAAGTAAAATAAAAATAAAATTAAAATTTAAAAATTAAAAATTAAATATTATAATTTTCCGAAAATAGTTCGAGATTAAAATTAATTAAAACTTCAAAAATTTCAAAGATGTTAAAAATATTAAAATTAAAGTTCTAAAAATTTTTCAAAAATTTCAAAAATTAAATTCAAAAATCCAAAGATCCAAAATTCCTCGGAAAACCGGAAAACCCCAGTTCCCAAACAATTAGGGACCCAAACTTAAAAATTCAAAATTTAAAATTTAAAACTTAAAATAAAATAATTAATAAATTTATATACAAATCCAATTAAAATTAAAATTTAAATTTAAAGTTAAAATTCTTTAAAAAATTTTAAAAAGTTTTTTAAGTTAAAATAATTAAAAATATAAATATAAAATATAAAATTTTTAAAAATTTAAAACCCCAATTAAAATAATAATAAAAATACAACAATACAATTAACTTATTAGCTAGGCTTAAAACTCTTAGAACTATATCACAGTTTAAATACAACAACAATAATAATAATAAAAACAATTTTAAAAAATAGTATAACAATTAAAACACTAAGTTAAAACAATCACAATCGTCAAGTCGATATCTTATAAACTACTGTGTGTTAATGAGGCGCGTGGGAAGAAGTCTAAGCGCCGGCGTCAGACAATTAAGCGCCAACGGCTATTAACGCAGGCGCCACCCGGCGCCAATTAAAAATCTTGGCGCCGCAGTAGAATCGGCGGCGACGGCGTGCGAGCGGTGCAGGTGTGCGATGATTCAACACTTGTTTACGTTTTGTGTTCGAGTTTGACGTAATATAATTTCGAAAATAGGCACTTTAAATTGTCACTTTTTCGATCTGTTTTTACGTTTATATTGTTTATGGCACTCAAAAAATATGTCCTATGAAATAAAATTAACACTTAATTAACGCTTAATGTCTCTAAACAACACTTAAAGTTTTACTAAAAATATGTCCTTTTTCAAAACGTAATTGCACCGAATTTAGTAGGCCGAAAAATCCAAATGGGGTATCAATTTGTTCGTCTTTTTGTGCCGAATACACTGGTAAAATAAAAATAATATGTCCTCGCTTTAAATCTTGAGTTATAATTTTTTGAAAACTTGTTAAATTTTTGACGAACTTTTCGGCTTAATAACTCTAAAACTAATTGTCCAAACTTAAATCTAAAATCACAGTTGTTCTTGGCACTTAATTGTCTACTTAAATACTAATATCACAGATCTGCTGCACTCCTGGATCCTGGACCTCGTGGCCACGCGGTTTTTGTTTTTGGTTGTTATTTCGGGTTTTTCCGCACGGAAAAATTCCGAAAACCGGTCGAGTCCAAGGATCTCGTCGAGATCTATCCGATGATGTAATAAAAAATATATGTTGTCGCTTTAGATCTCTCGGCGTTATTTTTCAAAGTTTCAATTTTTCTAAAATATGGTGTTTTTCTGTTCCAGGCGTTCTGGTCTTCCGCTGTCCACCTCGAGTTTAGCACCGTTAGAACCGGGGGATTTTTCCGCATCCGCAGATATATCACACGGGTATGTGCACGAAAAAAATTTTCCCACTACTTCGATTTTTTCTAACTTTTTTGTGTTACGGAGCAACTTTTGAACAGAAATTTCCACTTTGAGCGTGTCGTATCGCTACGGGGCGCAGAGCGTGACTGGTTAGGTTAGGTTAGGTTAGGTTAGGTTAGGTTAGGTTAGGTTAGGTTGATCGCGCGCCGGTTGTCGTACCGTGTGCATCGCTTCCGTGTCGCTCCGCGTTTAAAAATTCGTAAATGTGGTAAAGAGTGAAGTTTTATACCAGTGTTATACATCGGGAGATGCGTCTCGGCGAGGCGCATCTAGTGGTATATAATACATAGTGGGCAGAGACCAAATTAGTTAAGTTTTTAGTGATTTAGTATTCTAACGGTCGTTTTGGGTGTGGCACTTTTTGCGAAGTGCAAAAAAGTGCTTCGATTTTGACGTTTTATATATCGGGAGACGCGTCTCAGCGAGACAAATCGACCGGTATAGTTTTTAGTGTGGATAGAGACCAAATTAGTTAGGTTTTTAGTGTTTAA